ACATGATTATGGCAGGATGCTGGTTTGGATGCACTCCTGAAACACTTCCCACAAGTCCTCTTCCAACAGCCTCCAAAAATGGTTATAAGACTCCACAAGTAAACCATCCAAATCCAAACCTGGAATCTTGCCAGAAGCCATTGGTTGAATAGCAGTGGTCAGTTACTCCCCAGCCTCATCTGCCAACCCCAGCCTCCAGAATGGCCTAATCTGCAGTGGTAAATTGGGGATAACAATTCAGTAAAATATCCGTGCAGCTTCTGTTGCAAACCTGCTGTCTTTCTAGGTTAAAAAAGAAGGACGTGGGGGCATCCATAGCTTTGTCAGGCCTTTCATGTAAAAAAGAGTGTAACTGTGATTTCTTTGGTTTAAGTTGGTCAGTATTAGCAGCATCTGTCAAAATATCAAAAAGGAAGTGGAGGTGTGCTAAGTGCTCAGACCTGGAGGTTCTTGCTACCAGGATATCATCCAGGTTCACACACAGGAAAGGCAGGCCAGGCGTTACAGAGTCGATAAGGCGCTGGAATGTTTGAACTGTGCTCTTTAGACTGAAAGGCGTGTGCAGGAACTCAAACAAGCCAAATGGTGTGATTACTGCCGTTTTTGGAATATTTGGTGGGAATACAGACACCTGGTGATTCCCTGGACAAGGTTTACCTTTGAGAAAAGGACTCTACCCGCCATGTTTCCTAAATATCCTGCACATGTTGGACATGGCAGTGGTCAGGTACTGTTACCCCATTAAGCCGTCTCCAGTCGCCACATGGGCGCCAACCACCATCGGGTTTGGGGAAAGGGTGGAGGCGTAGCACCAGTGGGCTGTTGGAGCGGTCAAATATACCCAGGCCCTCCATGTTATCCAGCCCAGACATAGCCAGCGTTCACAGTCATCGTCGTGTTACTGAATACGTCCAGCAGACCAACGTTGGGGTCACCAAAATGTGGGGAATTTAAAAAATCTGAAAGAGTGATTCACCACACCTTTTTATTTTCCAATGATATTCCAGGTCCAACTGGACCTGGAATATCATTCTTCAAAGACAAAGACGGCATCCCAGAAGATGCATAACACCACCAACAAATAAAGCTCAAAACAGTGTTCCACAACAATGACAAAAAGATGTTAAACTCTCATGGATTGAGTTAATAGAAAGAAAAACAGAAGAAAGTGTGAAAAAACAAGCAGGCTTTCAGTTCCGCTCAACACCACTATCCACAAGAGGGGTAGAGAGATTCATAGAGAGAGAGAGAGAGAGAGAGAGATAGAGATAGTCACTGTGATTGGTCATCATTATCTGCATTATAATTTTATTCCAGTTTTTTTATGTTTGCCTCTTCTTCGCTCCCAGCTTCCTCACACCAGCAAAGAAGTCCTACCTCTGAGACCAGGCCCCATCCCGAACGGTACCCAGCCCGTAAATGTCGTACGACCTCTCAGGCCTGCACCATCTCCCAAAAGTGGTCCCCGTACCTGCAAGGTGGTACGGCCACCTCTGCCCGTCGGAAAGCCCCCAGCAGCTCCCCCCAAGTCCCCCTCAACTCCACAGAGACTCAGCCCACCCAAGAAACCACTGCCCCTTAACCCAACGCGATCTCCACTGGTAAGACCCATTAAGAGTCTTTACTGAACTGTTGGCAACTTTTGTTTAGTTAATAAAAGTGCTGCAAAACTTCAGCTGAAGGGGATTTTACATCATTTATAGAGCTGGTATGTACCTGAGAAAAGGGAATCTGCAACCGAAAGCTCACAATAAATGTTCAGCTCTCTGTTGGTACAGAGAAGAAAGAGGGATATTCTTTTATTAATGCATCATCATCTTGACTTCCCTAAGCTCTCATTGGTATGTTTAACGAGGCCAAAATGTGTTTGTCAATGGTACATTGCTTTAGTATGCAAGAGAAATGTGAGAATGGATGTTCAAAAGTGCATTAAATCTTTTATTGAATATTGCTTTGAGAAAAGACATCTAAAAACTTTTCTTTTAGTCTCTGATCACAGCTAATCTGAAAAAAGGTTGTGCTAATACTTAGTCGTGTTCCTTTAGATAAAAAAAAAAACTTGTAATACTTTGTAAATGCATTTCACCCTTTTAACCACTTACCCAGAGCTTTAAAGAAAACCACTGGCCTATTTAAATGAGGGTTTACTCAGAAGTCCAAAGATTTGCTTCTGAACTCTACAAAGTTTTCATCTGGGGATTTTTTTTTTCTTGTTGATTTATCCACCAATAGTGTTCTTATCAGATGATTTTAAAGTGTCGAATTAGATTAAAATTCTACTGTTGTGTTTGTTTTTCTTATTTTTAATTTGTTCTGTTATTAGGGCAATATCCAGTAGTTTAAATGTACTTTATGCTCTTATCACAATCAATCAGTCGTTTTTTGATCATTAGCTCAGAGAGCTAATGATGTCAGCAGACAGTTTGGATCATGACAGTTCTGTCAGTAAACATATTGAAACGGAATAGAAGTGTCCAGCCTGCTTTGACCGGATGCCAGGAATCTGGTCTTATCTTTCCTTTTAGTGTTTAGTTTCAAAGGACCTCGGTTTCCCCTCCTCTGTGCAACATTTGACACAGGTCTGCTTTGTCCCGTCCTGTTCTAAAACCATGTCAGACTGGATTGTTGAATCATCTCACTCATTACTGTCTTGCAGTTGGTGTCTGGGCTGCATCCCAAACAATCCCCGTTCCCTCCTCAGAGGCCTCTCCCCCTCAGTCCGGCCAGGGGGGCCCCGTCCACAGTGAGTCCGTGCAGGAACCCTGGCTCCAAACCCTCTGAGGGCCTACTGGTCATGATGCCCCCTGCGGTTGGACCCAAACCAGTTGGCAAAGTCTCAGCTATCCCACCCCTTAGAGTACTCAGGTGAGCAAACATAATCACTCGTGAATACTTCAATTAAGGCTGTTTTGGTAAGATTCTTTTGTTTTACCCCGCTCATGAACATAACGTTTTATTTCACTTGTATAAATACAATAAAGACATTTTTGTGATGTCTGATTATGTTTTTTTAGGGTGTAAAAAAAAATAGCAACGTAAAAATTCCAATAAAATATAAAAAATGAAGTATATATAGATGGCGATACAGAAAGAAAGATAAGACTCATTCTCTTTGTACACAAACAGGTTATTCGGGTGGCAGGAATGATTCTCTACACAGGCATATATTGCAACAAAGCTACAGAAGCTAGTATTAGTTCATTTTAATAAAAATTGCATCTGCCGTTACATGAGTGCATCATTCAGTGAGATTTTGGGATATAGAATTAATAAAACAAAATCCTAATTTTTACTACCTAATGCATTTGATAGAATGAATCCAATTCCAGAGCCATTAGAGTCCAATGCTGTAACACAATTTGAATACCTGGGAATACAAATTCTCCGACATGTTTAACAGGTTGTTGAAACTAATTACAATCTCATTATAAAGGGTAGACATGGAAACTCAAGAATTACAGCTAGCATATCCTTCATACTTGTTTTCTGACTCGACTAAAAATTTACTACAAAAAAACACTAATCCCCCCCCCAAAAAATAAAAAAATAAAAAACTGCTACATGATACACACAATTTATCTCAATACAGTCCAACCTGGGGAAACCAGGAGTTTATAGCCAGCAGAAATGATGTGGCCTTTAAATTTTGGTACAATGAGGTTATTGAAAAAAAATAAAGATCTTAACTACCTGACTCAGAGGTTTTTTTGAGCTTCCAAAATCTTAAAAATAATTTCCATCTGAGTAAAAATCTATTTCAATACCTCCGAGACAGAAGCTTTATACCAATGAGACAAAATGACCTGCACTGAAAACCCACTCTAACAATGCTAGACAAAACGCTGATGAAAGATAGTGAAAGAAAAGGTCTAATCTCAAAATTTTTATAGTCTAATCATATCAAGTTTCTGAGGGCTGAAATGATAGGCCTGCAGCTTGGATTGATCACCTACTATTAGTTCTTACAAAGTAACACTGGCAGGGAGCTTGTGCTTATAAAAAGATATAATGGCAATATACCTGATGTATTCCCAAATTGTATAAAGCAGAGAAGTACATTATATGTAGTACTGTGAAAGGATAGTATTTTTTTGGGGAAGAAGTCAAGGTAGTGATGGAAAGAGTTATTAGTACATATATGTATTATTATGGACCCTAAGTTGTGTCTGTTCGGGCTCTACCCTGAAAGACATTATTTTACAAAAAATGAACAGATTATCCTGGGCTATTGATAAAAACAATGAGAATGACTTTTCAAATAGAAATAATCCCTTATATACTGAAGGGCAAGATGGACAAATTCCATACAAATTGGAGGCCTTTTATTTGAAATATTGAAAAGATGGAGACAGACATTGAACTGCTTAAATTCATAGACTCTAAGGGAAATTTCTTTGTACATCTTTGTTTGCTTTTTGTTAATACTGTATATCATACCAAATATCACATAAAAAATGTTTTCTGAATTGTTTTATCATAAATTATAAAGATAAAAAATACTTTTGGGAAAATGATCACACAAAGAAGTCTATACTGAATTCAACCTTATGTGGATTCAGATGCCGGTTTTGTATCCGTGTTGACTTTTGTTTCTAATCATGTTGTTCTAATGTTGTTTGATAGTCAAATCTATACTATTTTAAAGCAAAAAATTAAAATGGAAGAAGTATACTTGAGCATAAAAATGTTGAACCCTTTTGAATGAAAGTTTCAGGAAATATGTTATGTTTTTGTAGCCCAAAAAAATATATATATTGACACTGAATAAGTACAGATATTTTCACCTGGACCCTTCCACCATCATTGTAACACAATGCTGTGTTTTTGATTTGATTTTTTACTGCAAAAGGACATGTTGCCATGGCAACCTGACTCGAAGCTACAGCAGAGATGTCCCCAGTTGTAAACCAGGTTTTTTAATGTAAATCAGGTTTTTCCTCAAGTAAAAATCAGCTACTATGTGACAAAGCACTGTAACTGTTGTTCAGTTTAGCCATATCTGATTTTATGTGTCTCCTGGTGTTTTGATAAATTTACCGAGTGTCCTCGTCTTTATCAAAGTTTTATTAGTCTAACCATACTTTATCAAATAACCAGGATTTTATCTATCATGAGGGGCCCACAGAAATTGCATCAGGGGTGGGCCCTCGAGGTTTTGGAGGTTTCAACTCATCAGCAGTCGTGTCCAGCACTTTAGTTTAGAAAAACTCCATTTAATCTGAATCAGGTGTGTTGAGTCAGGGAAACATCTCAAACGTCCAGGACAGTGACCCTAAAGGCTTGGAATTGCCTTCAGCTGTGCTAAGTAAATGTTTCAAATCAATGTGGCTGTTTAGTAGGTTTATGGGAGTTTTTACAGTGATTTAATTTCCACTCCTGTTCAAAATCTTAAGACCAGTTAGAAAAATTATTTCCATTTTGCACTGTTGGATCTAAAGAAGGTTCTAAGTAGATTTTCAACATGGGAGCAAAAGACCAAATGTTTTGAACAGGCAATTTATGGAACACAACAATGTAACTGAAATAGGCTGTTCAAATGTTCTCAATTGGATTAAGATCAGGGGAACACACAGGATAGTCTAAAAGACTGATGTTATTTTCCAGGAAATCTCGGTCAGGCGGGCATTGTGCCATGTAGAAAACATCTCTTTGTCATACCGGTAACGTTGGAAGCCATCAGGACCACCAGGGTTGAACGTTTTCTCACCAGAGAATAAAACTTTCTTCCACCTTTGAAAGTCCCATGTTTGATGCTCATTCTCAAAGGACGGTCGGTTTTGTGGCCTTGAAGGAGATGTTGCTTTCAAAGCCGTTTCTTGTTTTTGAAGCCCTTCCTTTGCAGATGCTGTCAGACGGTTATTGGGCTACAGTCAGCACCGGTAAATGGCCTTCATTTGGGACCAGGATCCCATGTCTTGACTTACAGCCATTTTGATTATTTTGGGTCTACCAGTTGATTGTTTTGTTCAATACCCCTCAGGATCTTTTAAGAAATGCTGAATGACTCCTACCCCATCCAACATCAGCAGCGATGGCATGTTGTTTTGCAGTTTAACAATCCCAACACATTCAAAGAGTGTGAGCATTTCTGCCTTTGCCAACAAGAGATCTTGACAGGAAATGACATGATGAACAACCTATTCAATTTAAAGAGTTTTTTTTTCTATAAATTGCCTGCTCAAAACTTTTGTTCTCTTGTTCCATTTCTTTTTTTTTGCAATTTGAAGCTCTACTTAAAAACCTTCTTTGAGATCCAACAGTGCAAAATGTAAATTTATGCTATTTTTGAACTGGTCTTAAGATTTTGATCAGGAGTGTGAAATGACTCAGAGTTGAAAACTGTATGTATGGCAGGAATGTATATAAATAGCTGGATGAGTAACTAGGATTTCTAATGTTTTCGTGGGGTTAGACATAGGGGGCAGGGCTTCTCTGAGCATGGCTATCTTAGAACAAGCTGCAACTCACATCAGAGAAATGAATCAGAAGTTAATGAAGTGTGCCACAAATCACGACACATTCCAGTGTGTGACCTCAGAGCACTGCTGCTGATTTAAGCAGTTGCTTCCTCACATATCTTGAAGGTACACATTACCCCTGAGCAATGGAGGTGAAGAGTTAAAGATTATAGTCTGTCCCTTTCGATGGTGACTGTCCAGTCATCTTTCAAAATATTATCAGAATCAGAAATACTTTAATAATCCCAGAGGGAAATTATTTACATATAGGTCATATGTAGCATTTTATTTGGAAAGTTGGAATTTGAAGGGAAACTGATAGGTTTGATGGAATTTAGTAGTGCCATTGAAGATTGAACCTAGCCAAATACAACCTTTTACGCTTTCCATAAGCTTATTGCAGAGGCAGGTTTGTTTTAGTTTTTTTAAGTTTAAAATACTTCTGTGTAGTATTTTATTTGCCTGCGCTGGGCTACCATGGAGATAGAAGTGGCTTTGAACTTTTTGGAGGAGGACATGTTTATTTGCCGATGTGGGAAGTAATTTTAGGCAAATGCAAACATTCTTACAGGTAATTGTACTCTAATGGAGAGACATTATCATTGGAATATTATGTTCCATCTCTGTTCATTCCTCCTAAGTCCTGACAAAAACCTCTGAATTTATTATTTTTCTCATTAAAAGGCCCATAAAAACTCTTTACTGCTTGGTTTTTTTTCAAGACATTAATTAAAAAAACACTAAGACTATCTATTTTAACAAGTTCCCATAAAAACGATGAATGTGTGCCCCTGAATGGCTTAGATATAAATCTAGACTATTGCTACAATTAATAAGCTTGAAATGTCGAAATTAGCAATGTCTCTCCCTGCTGACTGCCCCTTACTCAGGGACAGAATATGTTCATTTAAAGCCAGGCTATTTCCACAACCATGAAGCTGGCATATTTCTGAATATGTACTTGTGGATGTGGAACTATTCTTTTGACAAATCATTTTGTTTTATTACACACATTCAATACATATATAGATAGATATGTTAGACATTCAGCATCAATACACGTTTAAGAATAACAATTGATTATATTAAATGTGAATCAAGGTGTTATATGGTAATATGACAACAAAATATGTTTGCCATATTACCATGAGAACAGTGCTGCATGTATCGAATAATTTTGTGTGAATGAGAAACTTAAGAGGCACTTTTTACATGTGTGGTATAGCAAGATGAAATAGAACATTTATTAGTAACGCACAGTACATTAAGTGTTTTGGCTCTGCTAAAAGAATGAGGGAAAAATGAATGCTATTTCTAGTTTTACACTTGAAAGAAATCATAAGTGGTCAGTATACATAAGTGTGGATCTTTTCTTTTTCTTCCTTTTCTCAGGCCTGTCCCTGGTGCCAAACAAAGCTCAGCCTCACCTTCACCACGAAAATGACCTCCCTCTTGCCTCTGTGGCCCCTGAGGAGGCAGTGGCTGACAGCCTATTTGCACTAAAGAGACTTTGGCTAGTGAACTGCATCGCTGTCACACAAACCAGAGGAGGACAAACACAAAGTTAAAACCAGAGACACGGAGGAACAAACAAAACCCGATCCACTTCGGACTTTAAATGAAACATGACCCCAACCCCCACCCTCTCCTTGATTCTGGCCCCACGCTATTCTCCTCCGGTTCCCAGTGTGTTAACATTGAGCACGATGACGCGGTGTTGCACGGAGGCCTTGCAGACTGAGACAAATTTTATTGCTGGGGTACGGTTTCATTTACCAAAATGTTTTTTTTTAGATCATTGTTTCATTTTTTTTTATCAGTTAATGCTGTCCATGTATATAAGTGCATTTTTGTAATGGCGTTTGCTTTGTTTACACTTGTTTTCATGTCATGTGACATGGTTTATGTTATGTGCCAAAGAGGTCTTTTCATACCTGGGGTGTGTACCAATTGCTTGAAAATCTTCTTGTGCTAAGTTCACCACAAAACCCTCCGAATGTGTTTTTTTTTCTTAATAATTTATTCTAAATTACAAACCTGGAGATAGAGATGTCTTCTGTTACAGGAGGAACAACAGCCAATCATGCAGCAGCTTCTTTTTATCACTGTTTACATAGGGGAGGGTTCGATGGAGGCTTGAACTTGCAGGGCACACCCCAGTTTGCTCCTATTTTTTTAATGTATTTTACCATGTTTTATTACTTTTGATTGTTTACCATAAAATTTTTTTTACAAAGCTCTCAAGTTGTATTTATTTTCCTTTTTAACTTAAAAAAAAGACATTTTAGGACTGCCTATAAAGTTGTTTAAAAAGAGATTTAGCTGCAAACTTTAACCAATCGCGAACAAAGTCTTACCAAACTGCACAAATCTTGTGGATGTGGATTAACAGCTAATTATTCTTATTTTCTCCCGTACTTTTGAAGCACTACAGAAGAGGAAACATGGGCCGCATTATATTAAACGGGTTCAATCTCAAAACCGAAGAAATGCTTCACATACCTCTAAGATTGTTTGTACATTTACTACATTATTGTGCCTGTGTGTTTCAATGATGAAACCCCTTCTACTGAACCCCTGTTCTAAAGCCCTGAGTAAGGATTTAAAGTTAAGGAGGAGCATTTCTATCCTCCACGTGCAGGAGTGTGTTGCACACATCTGTTCAGGCCAAAACAAACTACTAATCTTCTGGGAATGCCTTGGGGATTAGGGTCCACCATGAGACAAATATTTGAAGTCACGCGAAGGGTATCAGACATAGGCAGAGGAGTGATGATTATTCTGAAAAGTGAAAATAGATTAATGGCTAAAGTCATGAAAAAAAAAAATCTCACCTGTACCTGATTTAAATGACAAACGTAGCATCCTGGTCAGAAAAGTAAAGCCAGTGGTAAAGTGCCTTATGCCTTCCTTCTCTTTGATTGTCAGCAGGAGGAGACAAAAATAAAGGTTTCACAGTAGCTGTTTAACCATACAATCCATTTCTGAATTAGATAGATTCCTGAAATGAACAAAATGTCCCCCCCCAAAAAAATAATTAATTAGATTCTGGCCTAAAACCTAATACATTTTCAGGTAAAACACCTCCTTTCTTAGTGTCAGTGTTATGTTTTTCTTTTTTTTGATAAAGAATCAGATCAATTTTGGCACATATTAGTGTCTTAATGATCTTAAAGTTCATGACCTATTAACCCCATGAAAGTCCAGCATAGCATGTTGCCTCCACTCGCACCTGATCTTAATGGATTTATCTCTGCTGGAAATTAGATATCTGGAAGAAGCATTTCTCTTCTCTCTGGAGATTAATGCATTCAGCAAGTCCCCAGTTCAAGTGGAATCCTTTCGGACAGCATGGAGGAATAGCCTGGTGGGGAGTTATATTGATTCAGGCATTTTCCCAGTCCATTAACAGAGTGCCTGTCACCTAGACAAACCCGTAGGTAGATTCTGAACACACAGCTGGCATGGTCAAAATGAGAAGGGCTGAGTTTCTTTCAAGGGCCACGGTTTATATAAATCAAGGTCTGTGGTCTGTGGTGGTCTGTGAAGGTGCATGAATAGTTTGTGTCTCCTCAGGATAGTCTGCAGTTGGCATTCTGTTACCAAAACTGTCGGTTTCCATTTTCCTGTAAAGGGAATTACGTTCAAAGCTGTATTTCAGTTAACAGCTTTCACAAGCTCAAGTTACATTTTATAATGTCTTCTCCAAGTAATCTAGAATTTTCCTCTTCTAATAAAAAGGAAGACTGCCTCAGGGTAATTTGTCTGTGGTAAGAATTTATGTCAAACAGTTGCTACATAGCAACCCATTTTAATATGAAAATCTTTTTATTGTCAGCCATATCAACCAGTTGTTTCAACTAGTTTTCCGATCAACATTCTGTGTTTTTCATTTCAATTCTCAAATTTATTTTCTTCAATAATCCCAGAAATATTGAAAACTGATTTGATCATCTTTACACCTTCTGAATTGATTAATATTTTGGCTTCAGGGGAGTAGCCTTTGAAAACTGTCAAAAACAATTATTTATGACTTGGTTTTCTTATCTAACATCTCTTAAAAGCTCAGCTAAATGAAACTCACACAGGCTTTGACACCTGGGATAGTAAACAAATTGGAAGCAGTCAGTTTTATCTCACAATTGAGCCACTCAGAGATTATTCAGTGTATGAGATGTTTCTGCTACTTTGTTGGTCCACAATGGTCAGATTATACCATTTTTCTTTTAATGTCAGTCTACAGCTGGAGTTACTTTTATCCTCCCTCACCACTTTGGCTGGATAATGGTGTTAAAGTGTGGTTAGGTGAAAGCTAGGGCTATAATGTCCAAACACAATGTCCTTTCATGTAGATTGATTCGTGCTTGTTGTTCTACTTCAACACTAGAAAGCCAAATAAGAAATTAAGTACTGACTTTAAATTTATTCAATTTAAGGCCAGTACATTGATTAACCTTTAAAACAAGGCTTTGGCCTTTAGTGACATCCTTCTGACAAGCCCACATAGGACAGAGCTTGTACTGTTGTCCAGATGTGGTTCAGTTACATGCTCCGAGAATCAATTAAAAAATACATAATGAAACTTAAACTAGAGAGACATTTGTTCTAAAAAAAAAAAAAGGATGCATATGAAAGAGAATGATGGATGTATGCCATGAGGAGACATTTCTTTATGTGGATAGACATTTACTGTTGTCAATAGCTACTTGCTATCATGCATCCTAACTCCATATTTTCCTATCGGTCCTATATATATATAGTTTTCAGTTTATTATACATTTTATTATAATTCATTATACATTGAAGTATAACATTTTACCGATGCTGTAATTCAACTGAGAATATGATGTGCATGATATTAGAAATGAGAAAAGTTAGAAAAGATGTCCTTCATAGTTCATTTAACGATCTTTCATGGTGAGATTTGCCCAAGTCGGAGGAGGATACAGAAGACAAATGACCAACAAGGTGCGCAAGAACTCAGGAATGAGCAGAGAACTGACCGCTGGCATGGTCATTTCACCAGGTTTTCTTCGTGGAACAAAGAGCGTGTGGTTTATTGGAACTGCTTGACGGCAGAAGGAGAGAATAGGAACGGGAAAATAATCCCACATGAAGTATGGCTGTGTTTGAATTTTTTATGCGATACTTCCCTAGAGTTTGTATGTTCCAATCCCCCCATCCAAACTGTGCTGTGACTTGTTGGTTTAGGCGATATGTTTTCTGAATTTTTTAAGCTACCAGGATAATAAATGCAAAGCGCATGTGACACAACGCTTTTCTGTGACAATGTTTCTGGATATGGCGCAATGTGACAGGTTTGAAGAGCCCCATGCTGTGATTTATGATTTATTTAAGCTGCTGGTTTGTTTGGTTTTTAGACAAACAAATGCAGAACAAGAGGCTGAATGCCTGAATGTTTATGCTGTCATTTTAACGTGATGCCTTCGGGGCGTTCAAGACAATTGAGAGTAATATGACCTATCATTTTATTGATATTATTATTCAAACTGTGTTATGTTTTGTAAAGCTCAGTATACCCAGTTTTGCATCTTTGAGTTGTTAAATCTTGGCATTTTCACTTGAAGTTGGAGGATTCTCTTTTGACACCCTGAAACACTGCAAGATTAGTCATAGGTTTTTACTATTTAAATCTTTAAAAAACATACATTTCAACAGAACAACCAGACTTCTCCTATAGTGACCAGTACATTTAATTAACAGTTCATTTTTACAATGTGAGATCACAGAAAAGTCGACTATTGCTCACAGCCGAACATGACGACTAGTCCTTAGATGTAATATTTCCTTTTATTCCCAATTATCAGCACTGCTAGGCGCTGACTCTTCAGCCATGAGGCCCTTAGCAGCTTTTTCATAACAAGTTTATGGTCGTTCTTGGTGGCTCAGGTGAGTTATTTGTCTTATTTGGGATATAGTGTTAAGTTCATTAACCCTGTAAGACCCCTCGTTGCAGAATTACAACACTTTTTGTCATCCCAAAAAAAACCTTTTTTTTTTTTTTTTTTGGTTTAACTGCATCAACATACTCATTGGGTCATGTAGTTTGGTTTCAAAATGCTATTAGGTCCTACATTTGTGTACAAGGCCAGCCCTCAGGTGAAGAAGTCACACAACCTCCAGATTTTTGCTTGAGCATCATCCCCTCGATTTACTGGACTGGATTTATCTGATTGAAGTAAGTAAAAGGCTTTGCATATTTTTTTCTGTGTTTATTACAGTGTCTACAACATGTAAATATGCAGTTATTGTAGAAAATGTGCCCTACATTTTATCTAGAGCTTGTTTTGTAATTGTTGCACAACTACAACATTGGGTGAATGTGGTAGTCATAACAACCCCTGTTTTTTTAGAGGAATGGCCAATATAACTTTGAACCACACATAATTTACACATTCTAGCCCTTAGCCTTATATTGGATTATATTGGATTATATATATTATTGTGTTAGAACCTAATATACATTAAATAATATACATACCTAATCATTTTAATTTGTTTTTAAGGATTTCTAACCACCTTCAACACTCAGTATTGTTCCCTTATCACAGAAGGCAGGGCTATCTAACATGTCTACAACACAACTGACATGTTGTGCATGTCTGCCCATGTGTCTTGGCTATTGATAAGGAAATGTTCCAATCAATTCATAGTCAAAGCCGGTGTGGGGGATGCTTGGAGGGGCCTTTGCATTGCATTGCTCTGGAACAGGTGTTCATGTTCAGGAATGTAAGTTGAAAAGGACCATTCTTCCTTTTTTTATAAATATTTGTAATATTCAAAGCCCTAGTATCGCCAGAGCCTTAATCCTACAAAAGTTTCAGGATAATTTGCAGAGACCCAGCTAATGTCTTCGTACGCTCCACATCTCTTCTCCAGTTTTACTTTCAATGAAAATTGATTACTGTAGAGTTTCCTTGACTTTGTTCTTCTCTCCATCTCGATCAGCAGTATATTTTCTTCATCCATCAATCAATAAAGATAGCGGCAAACATTACTGAGGTTTCCTTTGAGTTCAAGTGTATTTATTTTTCTTCATGTGAAATAATTTTCAATACATCGTAACAGCAACCAACATACACCGTGACATGTTCACTTAACAACGGAACTCAGAAACACAAATAGTCCATTTCCTGTAACGTCCATATGCGTCATAATAAAGTGCTTGATATGACACAAATATATCACACATAATTGGAGACATTACATAATGGCT